CGCCCCCGCCGCCGCAGGTTCCCCTGGACATGGACTCGCAGCCACCCTCTCCCAAGAGGGGGTCGGGTTGCAGCAGTGTGGGAACGGTGTGAGCCACCCTCGCGTTTTGGGGAAGTGTCACACCCATGTGGGGAGCCACTCCCACCCCATTCAGGTTCCAGACACTGACGAGTGGGACGGACCGATAGGCCCGACTCTCCGAGGGCAGCGGGCTCCGGCGTATGTGCCGTTTTGTCCAAGTTCTGCAAGTTGGTGCATTTCCTAACACCCCTGGCCCTGAGAATTTATCCTAAGGGCACGTGAGGATACATGAGAGGACTTCAAACATGGAGAAGCAGAATTAAAGCACGGGCTTATTCTGGTGCCAGAAATGTGCGACTGTGTTAGCTCGTCCCTGCAGAATGGCCGGGACTGGCGGTCGGTCGGAGGTGAAGACGGAGGGCGAGCGAAGGCAGAGGCTCGGGGCCAAAGGCCTTTTCTGTTTTTCTAGAATTACGGCGTGTCCTGGGTTGATGGGGCTCACACGGTTGTGATGAGGCAGTAGTTGGACATAAGGAGAAAGCCGTGCGTTTGCGTAGGAGTCAAGCTCCGGCCCCTGAGGCTCGTCTCGGGGGCCCGTTTTGTGCCCGCTGCCTCTCCCCCCTGCAGGCATCGTCGAGGAGCACCAGCTGCCCTACTACAACATGGTGCCTGGCGACCCGTCCTACGAGGACATGCGGGAGGTGGTGTGCGTCAAGCGCCTGCGGCCGACCGTGTCTAACCGGTGGAACGGTGACGAAGTGCGTGGAGCCCCGCCCCGCAGGCGTGGTCGGTAAGTGTCCCCAGAAAGACCGCCCGCTCACGCCGTCTCCTTCCTCCGCAGTGTCTGCGGGCGGTGTTGAAGCTCATGTCCGAGTGCTGGGCCCACAACCCGGCGTCCCGACTGACGGCGCTGAGAATCAAGAAGACACTTGCCAAGATGGTGGAGTCCCAGGATGTCAAGATTTGACATGTGAGTGACGAGAAGTTCTGACTGCAAGGCCGTGTCACCAGGGGACAGTGGGACGGTGTTAGCGTGCTCCGACTCCCCCTCGCTACCCTTCACAGGCTGCTACAGCGGGACCTTTCGGTACGTAGGATACAAGCTGGGAACTCCTGCACGCTTCCTTCTTTCTATACGGACAGCTGCATTTTCAGCGTGGTCTTTGATGCCTTTTTTTATTGGGTTTTTATGAACTACATCAAGACTTCAATCCTGGGTCGGAAGTCTCCAGTCAAACTCTCGGTACTGAATTGTGTTCGTAAGATGGTGCTTTCTGTGAAAGCCATAAGACGAATGAGTTTGGCAGAGACGGGGAAACACACTTTTGCCTTTTGCCTGCGGAAGTCAGGCCTGTCGTGTTCTTCCTTCGGGGACAGCCGGCAGCCGGCCATGTGTTCGGAGACCGCTCAGCGAGAGGCCGGCGTCCTGCCTCCCCTGGCGGTGGCGTGCGCACCCGGGCTTGTGTGCCGCCGCTCGGAGAAGAAAACCACCTGGAACGCGCAGGGAGGTGCTGGTGCCCGGGGCCCTGTGCTTAGAAACACCACCCCGCCGAGGTTCGCCAATTTCGTAGAAGCCATTTACTTTGCGACTGATGCAGCCTCCCCAACTTTTTATTTTTAACATGAAAGTTGACGTAAGGCCAAAAGAAGCTTAAAGTGTGTGCATTTGGGCTCTTTTCTTTCCACTACGTCTTCGTTTCTTTCTGTCCAGAGTTGGAGCGTCCATGCCGTGAGTGCGCTCACAAAGCTCACACTTCTGACGTGAGCTGCCGCGTTAGGAGCGATGTGAGCGGCCGTAACTCCTCTGTGCTCCGTCTTCTCGGTACCGTTTAAAAGGGAAGTTATTTATATTTTGCGTGTAATGTGCTTTGTTTGCAAAACACATGCCCCTTTCAAACTATTTTATATATGTACATACATTCTTCTCGTAGAAGCCGGCTCACGTGTCCTTCATAGCTCATCCTCAAGGGAGAGACTGTTAGAAAGTAGATCCACATACCGGTTTTCAGAATTAATACATTCAGAGTAATATATCAAATCCAGAAACTTCATTAAGCTAATAGCATCTCAGATTTTTCTTTATGAAGAAATCCTCTAATTAGAAATTAATGTCAAAGCTGACATCAGTTATAAATGTGTCAACATCTGTTAAGTATTTTTAGACATCTAAATCATTTGAGAGTTCCGGCTTTACAGTCTTTGTTCAACTCAGAGACAGCGGAGAGGCAGAATCGGTCTCCACGGCCACCCTGCCGCTGTCCTGCCGCTGTCCGGTAGAACGGTGCGCGTTTTATCGGTGCCTTGTTAGCGCGAATGCCGGCCCCAGTCTGCTCAGACACATCCTCCTGTGATGATTTTCGGCACCGTCTCCTGAGCAAAGAACTCCGAGTGTCGGAGAGACGTTTTATTTGACTATGACGTAAGAATGCGGTCGCATCACCACTTAGCCAAAAAGGTTCGAGTGAAGGGGGCGAAGCCTGAAGATGAATGTATTCGTTACCAAAGGTTTGATTATCATTTAAAGCTAAAACGTTCGTATTTGTCTGTACATCGAATTTCACACATTTGAAACTGCCTTAACTGTTCCAATGAAGAGGTTTCATCTCACATAAAGCTCGAGGCGTCCGTCAGGTTAGGTAAATTCGCATAGTACTTACATCCAGTAACTTGCTTTTTCAAAGCGTTTCCCTGTCTGTGTACTGAGAGGCGTAGTTCTCTTCCTGTTCCCCCGTGGTTTGCAAACACCAGCAAGATCTGATTTACTTGGTCTAAGTTAACCTTGATCTGTCTTTGCCTAGATAAACTATAAATCTTGAGTTTGTCATCTTAATGACGGAGGAAATGGGTAAAGGAAGACCGACTTTATTCTCAGAAATGTGAACGTGGCGCCTGGAAGCGTAGAGATCCATGGTGTGAGACCACGGTAGTGGCTGCTTCAGGTGAACTCGGTCACATCACAGGTCAACCTTAGGGGCTGTTGGAGGTTATGGCAGCTAGATCTCACATGGCCCCTCCCGGGCTTGGGTCCCGCATCCAGCAGCTTAAAAATCACACCAGGCGTATGTGCCCCGAGTCCTAGGAGAGTAGAGGGGAAGGGATTACAGCATGGCCACCCCCCTGCAGGGTGATTCTCATCCCCTCGCCCCCAGGCAAGCTTGTACCTCGTATATCAAAAACCACAGGAAACGTGTTGAATGAGATCATTTCCCTGTAAAACACATTCTTTAAAAAGCAAACAATGGAGCCAGCAGGTGGCGTGGTGGTTAAGGCGCTGGCCTCCAACATGGCTGACCACAGTCCGAGTCCCAGGACCAGCAGCTTGAAACATGCCAGGCACATGTGTGTGCATGTCCAAAATCCCGGAAGGAGAGTGGAAGAGAAGGGATTGCAGCATAGCCCTGCCCCTGGGGGTTGATTTCTCTGTCTCTGTCTCTGATGAGTGTATGTGCCCTATAACAAAAATCTCTCAAAAAAAGAAAAGGAAATACCACCATATTATACTATAGTTAATGATTCCTGAAACTCCAGATGCCATTATGGGGTCCCATGTACAAATTCAGCATTTCAAAACATGGCTTCAGACATCTTTTAAAATAATTAAAACAGAAAAACCAACAAAAACCAAAAACTACTTGAATTGAAAGAGTTGACCCCCAGAGAGCCCGTCAGCCCTTGAGCCGGTGCGTGTCCGGAGGGTGCAGGCGCGGACTCGCTTGTCCTGCAGCCCCCGCCGTCCGCCCTCACTGGAAGCGCGTCCAAGTTTGAAATCGGAGCCTGGGTTCAGTGGGCGCATTCCCGCACAGCAGTGTGGTCAGCATGCCACGTTGCCCCGCATGTCCACAGTGTTGTAAACTCGGAAAGTGACCTGTAGCTCTCGAAAACTGATCTAGAATGTGCCAGATTTTTTTATTTGTTCGCTTTTCCCCCCAGATGCTTTGTTTCCATATAAAACAAAAATGCAGTGCAGTTTTTAAAATCACAGCCTCTTGAGTCGGCCCAAGATTAAATTTATTATTGAAAAATTATTTCAGAGAAAAATTTATAAATGAAAACATTTCAATGTTTCTGGATATTTGAAATTAGTCCATCAGACATGTTCGCTGGTTTTTATTACAAGATCACCGTAGCCCTCGCGCCGTCTACGGGGAATCTGCAGTGCGGACTTGGTCGGGCGTTACAGCCGCGGCACTGCCAGCGCGGGGACCGCGGGGAGACACAGGCAGCAGAGCCAGGTCCAGTCGGCGCCGCAGCCTCGGAGGAGCCATGCGTGGTGGTCGTCCGTGCGGGAGGCGTGTGAATACGGCTTTGGCAGAGGGTTACACGTGTCATTGTCTTTTCAGCCACGCTCCGGACTCTGCTTTCGGTGGAGTAATTTAAACCTTTAGTGACCTTCCTTCTTGCCCATTTAAAAACCAAGATGTAGTATATATTGTAAAAATGAAAATATCATTATAGCTTAATTAGGGAAACTGTACATAGGCGGTGAGCCTTGAAAGGATGAAAGCAAGCAGCTTTATCAGCAATTGTAAACACCGGAAGTGTAGACTCATCTTTGATATGTACCACACTAAACGTATTTTGTACCGCATCTGGTTTAAAAGGTGCCTTATTAAGTTTATCATTAATTGCTTTGTTCTATATACAGATTATGTCCAATGTATCATTTTTAAGTAAATAACCTTATTTTAGTATACTCAGTGATGTGTTCTGTGTCCTGTACGGGGGTGGGGAGTGAGTGCGGGGATCTTCAGGTTAGGTCACGTACACACACGTGCGAGGAGTCGTACTGCAGCCCCGGACGCCCCCGTGGAGCCCGAAACCCCAAGAGGAGGCTGGAGGCGCTGCGGGGCGCGTGGTCAGGCGCGTTGCCTGGTGTGGACAGAGAAGTTACCGTCCTACCTTAGTGCAGGGCGGCAGGAGGCATGGTGGGTGCGGTGGCTGGGTCCCTCAGGGCAACTGCGGGTTTGAGTCCCAGACCTACAGCCTGAGAGGCACGCAGGCACGTGAGCGTTTGTGCCCAAAATCCTGAAAGGAGGGAGGAGGGATCGTGGGGGGCCATCCCTCCTCCTCCGTTGGCCACTGGGGTTATTTCTGTTCTGGAAAACAGAGCTGATGTATTGAACGCCCTTGTACGGAAACCTTTTATTTTCTCAGGTGACATTCCTAAAGCTGGGGCTAGTGGGGACAAACTGAAAGATTAAGACAAAGGAAGAAAGGGGAAAATAAAACCATGAGGTTCGCGGTAGACGTCGCCGCGTGCTCACAGTCTCCCAGGGGTGCTTCACTTGTGCGCCTCTGACAGCGTGAGAGCCGCCCCCTCCCAGGTCAGGGTTCGGCCTTCCCCCAAATCTGGTCTCTCCTTCCCTCCCTAGAGTGCTGGAGTGCTCATCTCTGCCTCCCATGCTGTGCAGGGAGTGGGGCCTGGGGTTGGGTCCCCTGTCCTGCAGGGTCTTCCCACCTGCCCGGTCTGGCCACCCCCTGCCCGCCTGCCCCATCTGGCCACCTAACGGGGCCATTTTCGGTCACATGTAAATTCATCTCCCCGTGTGCCTACTGGGCCTTTTCCTGCAAAACCGAACGAGTCAAATTGTCACGAGGGTTGGTGCTGGACGCCCCTCACGTGCGTCTGGAGGTGGGCTGTGACAGGCTCCTTGCGGGAGCCCCCACTCGGTGTCAGACACTTGCGCACATCCGCCGCACTCTGGTGCAGCCTGGCAGGGCGGGGCCGGGCCGGGGGGGCGGCTTTTTTTTCGCGGCCTCCGTGCGGGGCCCCCCCCTCGGTGTCAGACACTTGCGCACATCCGCCGCACTCTGGTGCAGCCTGGCAGGACGGGGCTGGCCTGGGTGCTCGGCGTCGTGCCGGCTTCCTCCCACCTGGGAAACGCCCAGACCGGGTGGCGTCCTTCACTGCCCATCTGCGAAGGTGCCCCTCCCGGGTGTCTTCGACAGAGTGGGGAGGGCTGCAAGCAGCTGAGCCTTGCCGGTCTTCAGTGGGCGCCAGTTAGGTCACCGATCCCGACCACGGGAACGTCCGTGCTGCCGCCAGCATGCGGCATCGCTGGCACACCGCGCTCTGGTGAGTTGAGTGATGTTTCTAAAAGCCTCACTTGGGCCCTTGGGGTCGTCGGAGTGGGTGGTTGGGCGAGGGCCACTGACGGTGGCTTTGACAGCGATGAGGTCCCTGAGGTCACAGGCACTGTAGCAGAAGGAGTGAGTCCCCGAAGCCGAGAGTCAGGAGGAGACTGGCCGGGCACAAACGTACGCACCAATAAGTACGTGCGGGCCAGCGATGACCCAGGTGGGAGGGCCCGCCCTGAGCGCACCAGGCGTGTCTGAGCCCGACCAGCTGAAGCCAGAGGTGGGGTGCGTGAAGACCGTGGGGCCCCCTGCCCTCCTCCGTCCTCCGAGATAAACTTTAAGGACAGTTTCGGGTAGGAGCAGGGCCTGGGGCTGAAAGGCCCTCCCCTTGCCACCCTGTGAGGTGCGTGCCCTGCTTTCCCGCCTTGAGGAATGCGCGTGGCCGCCAGCGCTACTCCGAATGATCCCACGGTCACCCCTGTTGCCGGTGTGAGCTGGGCCGTGAGACCCAGGGCGGTCCCAGGCCCAGTGCCTGCCCCTCCCGTTTGCAAGGGCCCGGCAGTGTGGCCCTCACCTAAAAGTGTGGTCATGCGTTCAGGCTAGAGAAAGAAGAGCAGTCTCTGTCTTTCTTGATGGAGGAACCATTTTTAAAACACAAGGAGGTTTGCCAGAGGGTGTGGGCAGTCACCAGAGGCAGAGGGAGCACCCGTGGGGGGCCACAGTGTGGCCCCCTCTCCCTGACCCTGTCAGGGTCTGGGATACACAGGCACCCACCGCGGGGTCTGGCTCGCTTCCCCAGGATTGGGGCCGGCCCCACCCATGCATGGTTCTGGACTGTCTGGGTAGTTACAGCTCTCACGTCCATTTCCCTAAATACCGAGGCACGTTCTGTGCTTCCCCAGTGACACCAGTCATCAAAGCCAGGAAACCTGGGCCAGCAGGTGGCGTGGTGGTTGGGGGCTGGACCCCATGTGACTGGCCACAGTTTGCATCCCGGATCTGATGGCTGGCTTTCTCACTCTCCCTGTCTCTCTCTCTCTCTGCCTCGCCGGTGAGCATATGTGCCCTCTAACGAACTTTAAAATAATAACAAAAGAAATTGTTTTTTAGGGAACCAGCAGTTAGCGTAATGGCCATGTCGCTGGACTCCCACGTGCTTGACCGCGGTTCATGTCCCGGACCCGGTGGCTTAAACTCATGTCGGGCGTATATGTGTGCCTGCCCAAGATCCCGAGAGGAGAATGGAGGAGAAGGGATTGCGGCGTGACCATCCCCCCTGGGGGGTGATTTCTCGCTTTCTGTCTCTCTGTCTCTCTCTGTCTGGCGACCGCACACGCCCTATAGCGAAAACCTCTCAAAAAAACAAACGTTTTCTAGAAAAGGCTAGACCGCCTTGGCAGTCCTGTGGCCTGCAGATCTCCAGTGTACTGCTGTGCTGTGATGTCCCTGGAGCGCGGTCACGGGCCAGCGTCTGGTCTGCCATGCTCTTCTCATGGGACAGTTGCGCGGTGTCGCCATTTCTGGAGCCAAGGCCAGAGGTTGCTTGCGTCCTCCCCAGGGCGTCCTCAGTGGGGGTCACTGGTGTCGGCGTCGGTCACTTGCGTACGGTGGCACTCGCTGGAGAGTGATAGCTCCTGCAGTGTGACGAGCCGGTTATGGTGACGCTGCCGTGGCCTGGTCCCCGCCGACGATGTACAAGCAGTGTGGCCACGGTGTCGGGATGGCCAAGGGCCTTCTTTCCCCTAACAGCTACCGGCCGTCTGCTGTCAGGAAGGGCGCCCTGCTCCTCCTTGCCAGTGGGGACCCCTGGGCTTCGGGTTGACCCAGACCCGACTGCTGCGTGATCGTCCGGCTGCTCCGGGCCCTCCGAGACCCCGCGTGCTCTGAGCACACCCCCGGCACGGTTGGCGTTCCAGGCTTCCCGTTTATTATTCCACGAGAGAGAGTTCGAGACAGACTCCCAACAGGGCTTGATGCCACGATCCACTCCAGCCTCCGCCTGCCCCCAGAGCGCTTGGGGGTCTCTGGACGCGAACCCGAACCTCCCAGCTGGTCAGCCTCGCAGAGCGCCACGTCCTCGCACTGTGCCGCTGGAAAGGCCAGCGTGGGGAGCTCTGCAGGCCGTGTCCCCTCCACGGAGCCTCCCAGGTCATAGTAAAGGGCCGGGCACGTTCTGACGTCACACTGGTTTGTGGGACACGTCTGCACTGGCCACAGCACGCCACGGTTCAGGCAAGGCCTGCTTGTCATCTGGTGGGCAGCGCCCTGACCGGAGGGGCCATGTGGGATCCGGCTCCCTTAACTGCCAGGCCAGGGAGCCGGACCCAGTCCTGTTTTTTCTGTTTGTTTTTTTGAGAGGATTTTGCCATAGGGCCTGTGCGCTCGCCAGAAAGACACAGAGAGACAGAGACAGAAAGTGAGAAATCACCCTCCAGGGGATTGGTCACGCCGCAATCCCTTCATTCTCCTCTCGGGATCTCGGGCATGCACACACACGCGCCTGGTGTGAGTTTAAGCCACCGGCTCTGAGACTCCAACCGCGGTCAACTACATGGGAGTCCAGTGACC